ACAGATACCATTMCAGTTTACTAGCCTGAAATGTTCTGTGAATTGAATTATTCAAGTTTCGTTTTTCTTGTTTATAGTTGAATCTCCCGGTTTTGCTAACTTTAGACATTCTTTATTCTTTATCAGAAGAACAGCCAAAGACAAAAAGAAAAATTAAAGGCGTCCCTATACAGTTGATGAAGATGTCGCCATACTGAACCGTAGAATTGTAGAATCGTTTACATCATTGTAAATCTAATGGATTCAAAACCTTGAATAAATGCGAAACGCGATTTTTTCGAAGGATTTTTCTGATTACGTATTGCGTGATCGTCACCCAGAATTCCCTGTGAACCTTTTAAAAACTTCTCACGTGAACTCGTCGCTATATTTATATCTCGCATCGGGAGGTTACTGGGAAGTTTCACAGGAAGTTCAAGAGGAGCTATCACTTTATGGACAGCAGATTATTATTATTATTGTTTTACGTCATTTTTTTACGTTATTTTTCGAAACCTTTTTCTTTAAAAAAGGCATTTTTTTACTTTCCGCCAAATTGAGATGAAATGCTATGAAATCTCAAAAGTTTTGCAAGTTTCGTCAAGGTCGCAATACACGGTTTTGATGTAAAGTAATGTAAATTTTCTTATATTATCTATCTATCAGAAGAGGGGGGGAGGGGGAGGGAGGGTACTCCCCTATACGGGGACGTTCCGCTAAACACAGCAGTATAGTTTTTCATCCTTCGCGTCTTAATTAGGGTATCGATTGACATTCATAGTGGTGCACTTTCTAGGTTAATCATGTCTTTGATTTACATAGTAGACTATAAAAATATATGAGATATTGCCATCTTTTACGGGAAAACTACCTGGTTTATAACAATTTTGATGAAATGTAGTATAAAAAAAACAGCCGTAGCGTAGATCTCAGAAGAGTGGACCGAATGTTGACTAAAATTATTGACTGAAAACCAGTCCACATGGGTTCATGTTATCAAGACTGTGTATTTTTGCACGGTCGTCTTTGACGGCTAATAAGGTCGACGCTTAGAGCATCGCTAATTCTAGGGTCTTAGCCGTCAGACGTCAACAAATATCTCTAAAGTCTTTCACTCCATAGATTGTTTTTTTGATTTTATCCGCTCGATAAGGGTTTATCCTGTAGAGCGCAATTCGCCCTTTGCTTTTCATCGATAAACTGAGGAGCTGTTTACTAACCTAAGTTTTTCTTGAGAATGGTCAGAGCAGAAGATTGGCCGATGAAGAAGATCCTCTGGATGGGGATTGGAGCGAAGTTCTTCTATTGAAACAACCTTTAGAAAACAATGAATACACAAGTCTTACTACACACTTTACATCTTTCTATTAAAGTCTTTTCGATATTAAACRCGTTTACGTTACTTCTTAGACTTGTAACATTTTGTATTGTTCTCCGTCCTTGAATGAATGAAAGAATGAAAAAAAAAACACAAAAAAACGAGATCTTAGCTATCAGTGACTGCACACCATATATCATAGATATCATTTACTCGACGCAMAACATCCATATCATAAAATTTCGCGCCAAAAGAATTACTGAAAAACTTACAGAAAGCACTCGCTATTGAAAACTCTTAATAACGGAATCTGTTATAACGAGAAATGACTTAACCTGCGTAACAAAACTAATTGCGCAATGAATTTGTAGTAAAACTAGTGATAGCAAAAGTTTCGTGTTTATGTGCAACAACACACCGTAAACTTACCCGATGAGATTTTGTGAGTCGTAGACGCATATGGGCATTACGGCAATCATAACACAGGAAGTCCATACATTCAATACACCGAGCAGCGGCTGGTAGCTTGTCCTCACAACTACTACACAGAATAGGCTTCTGATCGTGATTACGCAATGCAGCCACGTCAATCATCGTCGTGACGACAAAATTTGGCGGRAAACCTGTGATCCCTCGATCCTATACGGATTACACAGACTGTTTTAGATCTAATTACKTGATGGTTATTGGTGACATTATATTATCGCTATTTATTATGAATATAAATATATATAAAAAACAAGATATGATTCATCGCACTCATATTAAAATTAGTGTTGAAGACAATGTCTCCGGAAGATGATCAGCGGCGGGAAAAGTCCCCTTTTCGGTTCCCTGCGCCATCTTGAAAGGTAGCCATGACTTTGCATCGAAACGAGACGACCTGTAAGCTTGCAATGAACGATACCGTCTTTCACATCTTACAGCAGGCAATTATTTACAGGTGTCTGTCATTGCAAGCCCGTCTTCCCTTTCACCATCGACACATGGCTGCATTTCAAGAAGGAGAGTAAAATGATGATGCATAAATATGATGATGATGATGATGACAATTACAGTGGCGTTGTAAATGTAATTACGTAGTATAGCGTATAACGTACCCCTAGTGGTATGTCCGTTCTACAAGAAGGACAACTTAAACTGAGAGAACGAGGTGGCACCATGTTCTCAAGACATCGCTTACAGAAAGTGTGCAAACATGGCAGCAGTCTTGGATTCACATACATCTCATGACACAGCGGACAGAAGAGATTGACATTACTACCAGGCATCATGGGACTGTCTGGGGTCGGACCAAGGTCAAGGTGGTCTCTGTCTTGTGACATTTTATGCTCCTACAAGGAAAAACAGGTTACTCAATGTTCATCATGCTATCACAACAATGTTCTTTCTTAAACGCATTTGTAAATCGTGTGCGGACTGCGCATGACAAAACCTTGTAAAGGGCCGTAGCCAGCAGGACAAATAAATACCGCAATACAAACCATTACTCGTATAAACATAGTTAGGACAATTAACCCAAAAAACGTTTCAAAAATCGCCGTTCCATACTAAAACCTGTGACTACGGCCCTGTGGTCCTTTTGGTAGTATATTATAGAATGAAAGAGGATTGGATATGGATGGAATACACATGCAGGACTGGTCGAATAGTAGCAGCTTCGCCAACAAATGGTAAAATCAAATCATGCAACCAAAGAAAGTGGCCACTCGCTCATCGATGCAAAGCTTTCTTATTGAACAACATTCTCCACTCAGGGACATCCCTCTTCACGTTGCACCAGCCATTTTCTGGGATTTAAGCTGCTAATATTATTTGAAAAAAGTCCAAGATGGCTGCCTTAGTTGTACAAAATTTCTAGCATAAATTGGGTCACTTCATGCCTCAAGAATACCCAATACAAATGAACGTCAATAAGTATAGAGTTCTTGTGTAAAAACTACTTGTTTTTTCTCTCCATTTCAGTATCAATTTGTGATAAGTGCAAGGTACTAACATTGGCACCAAGCGACCAGGAATTATATGAACCCTCTTGCCTCGATATACCTCCTGGCTGTGATTAGACAGACAGACAGACAAGTTATAAACACACAGACATAATAATGACAGTCAGACACTACAAATAAGCGGCTGCATTCACAGTATTGTTTACATGGTAGGCGTTACTTTCTTGTTTTCAATACACTACAATGCTTGTTTGGGAAATAGGTTTTCTTTGTTTAACGTAAAAATTGCTTTGTATTCTCTTAATTAAAAGACCTCAAACAGAGAAAAATACTAACTTTCCAAGGAGATTTGAACAAGCGCAGAATGTGGGAAATTAGCGCGGTAAGACAATCAACTAGAAATTAGTGCCACGACTGTCAACAAATTCTTAATAAATAAATTCCGAAGAAATTAATAAAAATACCGAAAAACCTCATATTCAGTAGTAGATTGTTATGGCTGCAAGGAAATTCAAGACCATGAAGTTGCACTGACATAATATCGTTTAAAAATTATATATATGCAATAAATTTTATTGAATTTAAGTAAAGATTTTTATCGACTTCAGTTTCTCAGAAATTCAGCCATAATGAGAAATAATAAACGTCACAATAAATGAAAGAAACGAACTAAGAAAAGAGTAGAAAAAGACAGAAAGAACACAAAGAATTCAAAAATTTCCGCAATCTCATAATTTTTCAAAGTCATCGCAATTCACCTTGATATCTAGCGCACAACAAGAGAACATTCTTATCAACAACCAAACACGCAAAACGTTGCGTACTCGGCGTACAACACTAAGTTTAGAGTATTCACCACATCGTAAAACAAAAACCGGAATCTGTCAATGACCAACATCATGACGTATTTACAAAATACTCGAACAAGGCTTATGGAAATACCCAAACAGCCTTAACTACCTTAATAGATATTACAATGTTTTGAAAATCTTAACAGAAAAAGCGAACTTGAACTCGATTGATTTACTTTATGTCGACAGTTAGGATCTTAGATTGCTCTCAAACGTCCGTCGTTTAGCATAATATGAAAGGAAGCCTCAATACAAAAAGATGAACAGACGTTTACAAATGGACTGTCTTAATCCCATTTCACAACTGCCTTTCAAAGCAATCCATTTCTTTTCAGAAATACAAACATTCTTCTCGATGTCGGCAATAACCCAAGTTATAACCAATGTGATTATAGCTGCTGTTGTATTTTCAGTATTACAGTTTCATGAATACATCGTGTTATATCACATTTACAAGTTTCCCGCGAGAGGGTTACATTCGTCAACCACTGATGGTGATCTTGTTCAGGTATTACATACAGTGTACTGTGATTTTTAATTAGAAAACCTGTATGTGATGCATATAATACGGTGCTTTGGCGAACAAACCGTTCAGAAAGACAATAATCTTTGGCGATGTACTCTTAACTATACAGCCTTTCACTCGTAAGCTTTGATAGTATCTTTTAAATTCAATGTCCAAATGTGACACCCATTAAATCTAGTTTTCATTGAAATAAGGATTTACTGCCATCATATGATAGTTTGGAATAGAATTTCTATTTCATGTGGTTAAAAAAACCGTCAAAAAGATTTTACTTTTAATCCATGCCTTGGTTAGTAAATAATCAAGGATATATATGTTGATATTGAACAAGCACAGAATATATTTCATCCATTAGTTTAAAACATTCCTTGGAGATCTTCCTGAATTATATATCGATAAGCACACTGGCAATATAATCTACACGTTATTTGAATACCTTTTTATCAATGATTCCACCTCGTTGTGTTGAAACATCCATTTCATATTTTCGTTGTGCCGTTAACCTGAACGGCTCACTTCTGCCCTCGGAATGTGAGAAAACCCTCAAATTCGTATTTGCATTCATCATGGTTGTGTCTAAGTAATCTGTAATCTCATTTTGTTGCCATTAAATGACTGGGAGTTTGCCTACTAGCTCAAAAACCATTATTCGGCTTGACAGATTGAAGTTAGTCTTGTTACGTGGAGCATTCAATAGTTACGATTCTACGTTCCAGAAATGATTATTTTATTTTATTTTTTTCGACAACTGAGCTGTCTTCGAATCTTTAAATGTTTTATGATGTGGTGAGCGGGGACCAATCAGTGATGTCGGAATGTTTGATCTGGTGAAAGATCGCGTCCACTATCGTGACACACAATGGATTTTTACATATATTTACTTCGGGGAATACTGCTAAGCGCATTTTAAATTCACACCTGTGGCCAGATCCCAGTAGAGTGATGTACAAATTATACCGGCCGGCTAGATAAAACAAGTTAAAGAATACAAAAATATATATATATCAAAAAGCAAATAAATAATACTGGGATTCAAATCAACGATCGTTAGTCAATGCCTTTTTTTAACGTACGTTTTTCTGTACTTTATTTTATACGTACATACAAGGTCACGTGACTAAGCGTTTATAAATCATTATTTTTTGTACTGTATGGATATTCGTGTTATGAAAAACAGTAATTCATCATCATGAATCTTATGCAAAGATGCCTTGAGGGCGGTTTCGATTTAACGTGACAGTTTATAAGCGAAACGATTCAGCGTGTAGTCTTGTCAAAGAATCTCCGCTGAAAAAATCAGCAGTATAAATGCAATAATTCTATAAGGTAATATAGATGAGTATTGCTCGCATACTACTACTGAATATTGCAATTATTATACGAGATACATTTATTACATGACATCATGTCGCACAACTCGATTCTGATTGGCTAATATTCATATCTGAGTTAAGAGATATAGCTCGCAGGCAACGTCCTCTAAAAAGTCAGAAGAGCAATATGACGGTCGCTTGTGTCTGTCAGACTTTTGACAAAGTGCCAAAATGGAAATGGACAGAGCTCACGATGGAAAGGAAAAAAACCTAAACAATCGCTAACATTGGTCCATATTTATATTTCTTAACCATACATAACTATAGCATCTTCATCTATTTCAATATTATTCGTATTACTCCATAAGTCAATAATCAACTATCTTTACACATTGCTCTTTTGCCAGGTTCTTATCGATTCTTATAACTTGAATAATTATAAAAAAAAAACTTGAATAATTATGAGTGAAGATGTCAAAAGCTGTAGTTTTCATAGCAAAACCAGATGCATGGTTTTACGTGGGATTGTGTCCTTTGTTATGAAGTGTTCGAAATGGTGCAGTATTCAGATTGTACACCCTGATACACAATCCAATCAATTCCACGTTACTTTTCCTGATTTGCCTGATTTGTATCAACTGCACCATCCAACAAGAATTTGTTTACTTATTTACTTTTATTCACATTTTCGATATAATCAACGTCTGCTATCATAAACAATTTTCACTGGCTTCTCGGCCATGCTTTAACGCTTACGACGAATGAGCAAAACCAATACCCATACCGCAAAACGAACACTTCTATGTCACGAATAACTTGTCCCACAAACATTTCTAGAGAATAATTGGGTTTGTAGTTGTACTGATACATCACTTAGATAACTATGATGGAATACCATTACCCAAATGTAGGATCAATCGCTTTTAAAGCAGTTTTTTTTATATATCATCTGTCTGACAATCCGACGAAAACGGATGCTGAGGCCTGAGGGAGTCTAGAAAATGGGACGCTTTATCATAAACTCTACATTTTTATATGTGTGTCTTTTTACATTTGACAACTACCGTCTTATTTTTGGCATCGATATTAACTTGATTTTGTTCAAAGTTAATATCGCAGCTTCCTATTTTCAATCTGAAAGTGTTATTTTTCTCCGAGGACGCATAGCGATTGGTCTTTGGAAAGAACGGCCCGGTACATGACGGTGATCAAGATATATATTAAAAATAACTGAACACAGGATAGAAATGAATTATCGGTCCGTATGGACTTTAATAAAACTAGTGTTTCACACCAAAGGCGCATTCAGCACGTCAAAAACCAGAACGTTTTTACAGTAAATTGTTGAGGTGTATAAAGCAGCGTTATCGATTATTGACATCTTTCTTGGATCAGCAGTCGATATACAGCTGAGTAGCAGATCATAATTGCTTCGTAATAATTTGATTTTAAATATAGTGACTAAGAATAATAGAAGATATAACCTTTGACCACAACCTAACACCTACGACAAAAATCGAGGTCAAATTCCTTTCTTATTTTGAAGATAAAAGTCTATTTTGGTTCCGAGAAAAACTCAAACAATTGGGGAGCATTGTTACTTGTTGTTAGGTCGTGAATAACAAATGTTGAACCTCTGAACACAACGGGTAATCTACTTCAAAGCGCAACAATTCTATTGTTGAAAAGAAAGAACAT